GGCTGCCAGAGGAGAGGTGGGCGGCGTGGTGGGCAAAATGGGTGAAGGGGCGTAGGAGGTACAGGCTTCTAGTTACAGACTAAGTCAAAAGGATAAAAGGTACAGCAGAGGGAATAAAATCAACGGTATTATAATAAGGCTGCACAAGGCCAGATGGTAGCTACCCTTGGGGTGAACACAGTGAACTATACAGAGAAGACAAATCGCTATGCTGTACGCCCTGAAACTAACATCGTAGGTCAACTATACTCTTTTTAAAAAACACTACAAAAAAAGATACAAACTTCCAGTTATGAGATAAAGAAGTACAGGGGATGTAATGCACAGCACCCCAACTATAGTTAACAATGCTGCATGGTGTATCTGAAAGTTATTAAGAGAGTAAATCCTAAGCGTTCTCATCACAAAGAAAAACAAACGCTTTTTTTGTATCTACGTGACACAATGAATATCATCTAAACTTACTGTGGTAACCATTTCATAACTGATGTAAGTCAAGTCCTTATGCTGTATACCTTAAATGTATGTAATGCTGTATGTCAAGCCTATCTCGAAAAAACTGGAAAACAGTGCTAGAGCGGATAGGAGATGGAAATTTTAAGCAGAGTATGTATCATGAATGCACAAATATATTCAAAGGAAGTCCAGAATGTGTTATTAAAAAAAAAAAAAGTTTTTAAGCTGTTGCCCCACTCGCCCTACAGCAGTCAGCAGTCAGCCCTCCATCTACAGAACAGAGAGAGGGGCCTCTGCCAAGGCAAGTAAGTGGTCCACGGTCACAGGACACACAAGGGACGTGATGTTTGGGCTCTGAAATTCTGCATTTGCTTTCTGGTTCTACTAGTGACGTAACCCAGAGCACACTGCTTAACTTCCCTCTGCCTTCGATTCCTTGGGGGGAAAATGAATCTAAGGTGGGAGATCTGCTAAACCAGTGGCCTTGAGAGAAAGCTGCCAAACCCTGTCGGTGTAGGACAAGCCATTCCTCCCGGTTCTCTCCAGTCTGGCCGAGTCTCTTCCGTGCAAGGTTCCCAGCCACGACAGGGTAGTTGAGGTGCGCTCAGATGCCTCGTGAGAGGTCACTACGTTCAAACCATAGTAACCGTTCCCCTAGGTTTTACATCAAGCCTATAGTCAGGGATTACTTCCCTTCCCAGTCTTACAGATTCAAATGCCATTTTCTTTTATGAAATGGTGACGGTAGCTGGTAGATTTTTTTCAGATCCTGGCAGGAGGGGAAAAAGCTAGCAAGCAATACTCTTTGTCCATCTCCAAAATGATTGACTTTGGGGAATTTAATATTGTTCTACAAATCCAAAAGCTCCCATGTATCGTACCTGCACCCAGCTTCTATTCAGTCAGAGTCAGAGGGAGACCTAGTTAAGAACAGGCAAGGCTGAGTGTCCAAAAAGCCTTATGTGAAATCATCAACCCACGATGACCTATGTCCAGTCTCTCTCACCCAGATGTCGGACCTGCTAGGAAGCTCAATAAAAGGCCAGCAAGATTTTGCAAGGATGGCAGCTTCTCACAAGAACCAATGTCTTTCTCGGGCATCCCTTACCCAAACATTCATCACTCAATTTTCAGTTTAAATATTTATCTCTCAAAAAAGAAACAGGTACTCTACCAAATTCATCGTGGGCTTCCTGCCAGGCAGTAGGAAGTAAGCATATCTTCATGCTTCAGGGGGTGATTTCCACATGGGGTGGAGTTCAGTTGGAGGGTTATGTGGGTTTATGTTTGAAAAGTCCTGGGTGAGACGGAATCACTATATTGTACACCTAAGACTAACAGAACGCAGTATGTTAACTAACTGGAATTAAAATGAAAAAACAAAGAAATCAGAAAAATCCTAGGTGAGAGAATTTTTTAATCCAGATTTTTGGCAAAAATGGTCTTCTTGGAGATCCCCCTAAAGATTATCCTATGGCTCTCAGCAAATATTCTGACAAGGGGTCTTAATCTGGACGATTTAAGCATAAATGGCTTCCTTCGAATCTTCAGTATTTTATGCATTTGAAAAGCTAATCTTAGATGAGTGGATAAATTGAATTCCACTTCTCCAGCTGCCAGAGGTGTGCGAGTTATAGAAACGTCGGGAACCTCACATCCAAGTCCTGTCGGGTTCTCTCTGGGAGGCGAAAGGCAGGCTGGTTGGTCCTCTGTCATGAGCGCTTTCCCACCAGTCACTTGAATGCCCGACACCTTACTCTCGAAGGCCTCTCCTCCAGTGTCACCTTACCAGAAAAGCCTCACCCGACCGCCTCTGTAAAGTAAGGCTGCCTCCGGCATCCCTGCTGTGCTTTTGTCACGGCACCCGCTTCCCCCACACCCCTTCTGTAATGGCTCTGCCCCCTCACTAGCCCAAAGTTCAGCGAGCACCCACGGAGGGCAAGGGCCTGCCTTCACTGCCGTACCCTCACTAGCAAGAGGAATGAGGAGCGCATGCAGATGCGATGGCTACTGACTGAATGCAGGCATCTTCTTTCAACAGCTTTGGTGTTAACTGTTAAAAGGAGGCGGCAGAGTTTGAAATCTCTGAACGGGATGAGATGCTCTGTACGTGAGCAACAGCCCTCAGAAATCTGTCTGCCACAGCAAGCTGCCGTTGGGGACTTTGTCCTACAGATCCATGAGCACGGACACCCACATACAGTTAGGGTTCCTGTGGCACCGTTGGTCGGAATGCTCAGAACAACCGCAAGTTCATTCGCAGAGAACTGGGTAAAACGGTTTTGCATACTCTCTAGGGCACCAGAACCACACCACGGAATTCTCAAGAGCCAGCTCTATGCTGAGAGGGGCAGAACAAGGGAGTCAGAACAGCAGTGAAGGTGTGTGCCAGGCACTGTCGTAAGGACTCAAGTGCCTTCTCTCCTAAGCCTCCCAAGCACCCTGTGTTCTGTCTCCATTTCACAGATGAGGAGACTGAGCTACCAGAGAAATGAAGTCACTTGCTAAGGTCACGCGGCCAGGAAATGGCAGAATTAGGTCACAAAGCCAAGTGAGCTGGAACCCTTCACCACTGTACCACACTGCCAAAACAGTGGGTAGCATCTTTTATATGTGTTTATATCTAAAGGCAGGGACGACGAGGAGGGCTTTATGGATCTCTCTGCTTTTCCACGCATAGACTTTCTGCAAGGTGCATAGACATTCATCACAGAGACTGCTCTGGGGAGGCAGGGGGTGCTGTGCAGAGAATTCTCACAGCATCCTCTTTTGTACCATCCCCACTCTTACACACATTACTGAGGCACGAACATGGTGCAAAGATTCAGTCATTGAAATGTGAGCCTGGAATGGACCCCATCATTTTATGGGAGGGGGTAAACTGAGGCACAGACTTGCCTGAGGCCACCCAAGTAGGCAGGAGGAGCCCCAAGGCACCAGCAGGGCCCCGGACTCCCAGCCCCAGTGGGTTCTGCTGCCTCCTCTCTCTGGGTCCACGATAGCTGACTCAGCTGTCACAACTGGAGACTTTCAAAACCTCCCAATTACATCGAATTGGGGGGAAAATTACGATTTGGAATTCAAGTGTTGACACTTGAAAAATACCAATTCCCTTTCACTCCGAGTGCTTTAGCATGTTAGTAAGGCTTTCTCCTCATGTCTCTGGAAAGGTTATTTTCAGAACATTCCACTTAAACCTGGAGATGCAGGTTCTCTGCTGTTTCTGGGAGCTGACACAACAATTTACATTAAACAAATGTTTTGAAAATTAGCTGTTCACGGTTCCAATTTCAGCTTCCCCCAGGGTTTAATGTTAGCCAAATACTGGTACAGTAAGCAGACAATGTGTTTTATTGTGTGGAAGAAAAACAGACCACCATAACAGACTTCCTGCTTTTGTAATCAAGGGGAAAGCTGAGTGTTTGAGTCATTATTGGCATATGGTTATTAGAAACAGTGAGTTCCAAATATAGCTACTAGAGCTACACACACACACACACACACACACACACACACACCCTTCATTTCCAGTCCAAAAAGAAAGAAACAGCATTTCTAGTGTTTGGTAAAGTGGGAAGGCCAAAAAGCCGTCAGACAATTACTACTAGGGGAAGATCAGGGGTGACAGGAGCAGGGTTCAGCCCAGGCTTGCCCGAGGCACACAGAGGGGCTGCTCCAATGTCAATAAGCAGCGGGTCTGCATGAACAAGGGCCACGCTCGGGCCACAGCTGGAGGAACACTAAGCCAAGCACCAAGGGCCCTGCTCTGTGGGCAGCCAGCTTCCTGGGGCCCGTGATCCAGAGATGATGGACCTGGCATCTTCATCTTCTAACATTCAGAAAGGCCTGCACAGGCACTTTCCCCCTGCTTTCCCTGTTGTCCTGCTCCTCCCCGCAAATGTAAATGTTGAAAGGAGAGAGAGAAACAGTTCAATCTGCTAATTTTATACTTGGCAGGAACGAGTAAGGGAGCATTCTGCAATATCCCCGCCTGGCCATGAGCCTCCCCCTAGGACTTGTGAGCTAGGTGGGGTGTAAGTAGCTGGAAGGAACTTCCAGGACACTCTTCAGTTACAGGGTTCTCTCTCAGAGAGCTGGGAGTGATTCTCAGCTAGGGAGTTGGGGCAGGGCGGTGGCCTGTGGGCAAGACGATTTCAGATTTTGTTGTATTCAGGGAAGCATTTGTTCACACCCAGCAGTGTGTACAAAAACTACAGTTTCTTCCACCTCAACTACCAAAGGCCGGCCAACAGTGTAGATAGGAAGTTGGGGGGCCGGAGGTCTGCTTGTGGACCGACTCCGGGTGGGGGGACATGCTGGGAGAGTGGACAGGAGTCGGGTGCAAGGGCAGTGCTCCTGCAGCCTGGCCTGGCAAGGTGTCCTCAACTGGGCAAAGGCTTTGGGTTCTGGTGGGAAGAATGTGCTGACACTGCATCTGACCCACAAGGCATCTCTAAGGAGCTACTTCTGAGGGTCTCACAAAATAGGCAGGTCACCTTCTGCCAGAGGTAATTTCCACCTAGTCTGGCTGAAGACCAGAAGGATCACACCTAAGGGGATGCCCCAGGGCAGGGGGGAGCAGGAGAGCTTAAGATTCCATTTTGTTAATGAGGAGCTCTCACTGCCCGGTCCCTGGCTGGTTGGCCCTGGAAGCTGTGACAAGAGCTCAGAGGCTGGGTCCAGTGAGGCAGGAACACAGAACACCTGTTCCAGTTGCTCTGGGGCCTCCCACCAATGCTCAGACAAGGGAGCGCAACCACCCGCAGGCCCAGACCTCCTGAGGATCGGGGCTGGGGATTAGCCGGCCTGCCCCACCCACAAAGACATTAGGTCACATTACTAAGAGCGATTCACTTGCCACAAAAAGATCGGCACCTGGGACCTCATCTCAGTCCAACCTGGGTCTGGCAGGAGCATCTGCATAATTCCTCTGTTTTCTTCCTTAACAAGGCAACCATTCTGAAGAGCTAAGTGCCTGAACCATCCTTCCTCAAAGATGCTCAGAGAAGGACATGCAGGCATGGTAACATAGTGAGAGTTCTGAGAGCGTCGGGGGCAAGTAGGCAGCCAACACCCTCAGGTAGGACTCGATGGCAGCCGCCCCAGCACAGGAAAGCTCCTGCACCACCCAGGTCCCTTCCCAGAGGTGTGAGCCTGGGCCTGGCAGGCCAGGAATGGGGTCCTTCCAGCCTGGGGCTATCCGCCCCAGCCTCCTCCCCACATTTCCCTTGCCTGCAGGAATCCAGTTTTTCGCTCAGATTCTGGCCACTGGAGCTGGGCTAGCCTCTCTGCAAGCAGCTCCCACACGTTCCTCCTTAGTCCTTGGATAAGCCCTCAGCAGGAGGGAGCCACTCATGACCTCACCGACCTGCACCTGCCCTGCCCCAACCCACATACCCCTGCCCAATCACGTACCTTGGATTTCCGGGCCCCTTTCTTGCCTCCTGCTTTCTTAGACACGGGCTTCTTCTGGGATGGAGACTTGGCCTTTTTGGCTGGGGGTGGCGTGATGATGGCTTCCAACTTCCCTTTGGATCCTCGTTTCTTTGCTAGCAACTCCGGGTGGATGTTTGGTAACACTCCCCCGCTGGCTATGGTGACTCCTTTTAGCAGCTTGCAGGAAAATCAAGGTAGCAGATGGTTAGCCTATCTACCCTGTCTCTGACCTTCAAGAAGTCTGCCCTGCCCATTCACATTCTTGCTTTGCTTGGTTGAGCTCCTTCCTCCACGGCATCTCCAAGGATGCGGACAGGACTCAGGCTCAGTATACAGGGAGCAGGTCCTCAGAGTCCCTCACTCCAGTGAAACTTCACTATCTTTCCTCCAGGGAGGGCCAAATACCTTGTTTCATTCCCTCCTGTCCCCAAATAAAGCCTTGAGGAAAAACTGGCATGGGGGTCAGAGAAGCTGCTAATAATCCAAAACGCAGTGCACACCTCTGACAGACAGCCAAATGCCAACCCCCCTGTGTCTCTTGGGCAGCAGGACTGCCCGCCCAAGCGTCTGGCAGGGGAGGGAGAAGAGTGCCCCATACCTGATTCAGCTCCTCGTCGTTGGCCACAGCCAGCAGGATGTGCCGGGGCGTGACCCGTCCCTTCTTGTTGTCTCTTGCTGCATTGCCCGCCAGTTCCAGAATCTCAGCTGCGGGGAGCAGAGTGGGAGAGCATCTGGTCAGGTGAGAGCGTCAGAGGATCTCAGGAACCCCCCCAGGCCCCACATTCATGGCCCTGGGCACGGGCAGCAGCCTCAGGAAGCAGCTACCCCGAGGCATGAAGCTGCAGGTGCTCTGCCCCGCCACACTTTGAGCTGAGTCGCACAGGTGTTGAATGGGACCAGGAGGCCCCTCCGCTCCGTCCCCTTTGTTTTGGAGATGCAAACATGGAGGTCCCCCAGTAAGAAGTGGTGGAGCGCACACATGACCCTGTTTCCCACAACGGGCTGCCTGCAGTCAGTCCTCCACACGCCACCAGGACCAACCCTGCAGAGCCAGCAGTGCGGCCCAGACAGTGAGCCATGCATCCTGAGCAGTGGGTCATGCCTGCGTTTCTGGGACGGCAGGGGCTTGGCCAATCTCTGTTGACAAAAGCAACAACGAACACCTAGACATTCAGACTCAAAACTAAAAGCCTATGACGGGATTCCACCAAGTCAACATCCTAAATCATAAAGAGAAAGAGGTAGGATGCAGTAGAACAGGCTGAAGAGGCCTAACAACCAAACACAACGTATCAAACCTATCAATGCTTGATGAGATACTGATTACAAAAAAAAAAAAGAAAAGCAAAGCGAGCTATAAAAGTCATTCTGGACAAAACTGAGATCTGAACATAGACTGGCTATTAGATACTAAAGGATTATTAATTTTTTTGGGTGTGACCATAATGTCACTACTCTGTAGAGAACCCTGTTTACAGGAGATACATGCCTAAATACTAGGTGGTGGAGGATCTTGACATCTGCAATTTACTCTCAAATAATTGCAACAAACTCCACAGAGTAATGCCAATGCGGTGATATGTTAAGTGCTATTAAATCTAGGGGTGCGATGTGAGTGTCCCTCATTCAGCATTCTGTATGCTTGACACTGTAGAACTTTCTAAGATTTTATGTGAGAGAGAGAGCACACACAAGCAGGGGAGGGGCAGAGGGAGAAGGAGAAGCAGACTCCCCGCTGAGCAGGGAGCCTGATGCAGGACTCGATCCCAGGACCCTGGGATCATGACCTGAGCCGAAGGCAGACGCTTAACCAACAGAGCCACCCAGGTGCCCCAACACTGTAAAACATTTTAAAAACTAGAACCATGAGAGACTATGGACTCTGAGAAACAAACTGAGGGTTTTGGTGGGGGGCTGTTTAGCCCGGTGATGGGTATTAAGGAGGGCACATACTGCATGGAGCACTGGGTGTTATACGTAAACAATGGATCGTGGAACACTACATCAAAAACTAATGATGTATTGTATGATAACATAACATAATAAAATTAAAAAAAAAAAACTAGACAGCTAGGAGCCCAGGCCCTAGTTGGTGCTCGGGTTCATTTGCCCGGCCTTCAGGGCAGGCCCTCACGGGACAGGACAACGGCTCTTCCACAGCACCAAAGATGGGCCGAAATAGCAAGTGCCCTTTGGCAAGAGAGTTTTTCCTCCTCCGCAGCATAGTTCTCTTGGGAAATGTCGACATCAACCTTTCCTCATTTTTCTTTACCCAGATTGTCCTAGAACGTATCTTACACTCCCCTCCCCACGTCTGCAATTCTGCCCGCACCACCGCCCTGCCTAGGACCACTCCCCTGGGGGCCGGGCTCAGGCCTGACCTCCTCCTGGTACTGAAGAATTCCTTGTATTCCGGGTTATGTTGTCAGTACTAAAGATCTCCAGCAAAGTTAGAACTCAGAATCATTATAAAGTAAGTAGGGAACAGATCCCGTATTTAAAGCTGACAGGATTGCACGATACACATGAAGGAGCGCTAGCGGCTGGATCCGATGCAGTAACGACGGCGTAGAGCGCTATAAAACTGCTTAGCTCCTCACGCAAACCCTCCCAGTGGCAGTGGTGGGAAACCAGCCACACCTGCCACAGGTTTCCACTAGGAACCCCAGGCAGGAATTCGGTGACTCAGCAATCACATCACTGATGATACTCCGCCCCCGGAGGCACCATGAGGCCCGTGCCTACGTGGCGCTCCCAGGCCAGAGTCCCTCACCTTGTTTCCCATTTGAGAATCACTAGAGGGAGGCCCTGTGAGGACAGGATGAGAACCAGTACATTTCCCACCCTTAACCGTAATCTCAGCAGGACTGTTCCCCCTGCAGCCTGAGTGCAGATGGAGGGGGGAGATGGCCCACCTGCCAGTTCCACTGAAGCCTCCCTGTAAGTGACGGTGGCAGTGTGCTCCACTGTCCAGCGGAGACGGACCGGTCTTGGCCAAGCAGGAAAGGGTGCCTGGGATATGCCCAAGTGACCTGGAGCACCAGGTGCCATGATGCAGAAATGGGCCCAGCCTGGGCTTATTCCTCCTGCACTCCCGGAGGATGCACCACACCTGCAACACTGTGGTCCTGCCCATGGCTGGGGAGGGAGCCACAGTAGGAGCCTCACCTGATGCGAGCACAGCCTCGAGGGGTAAAGGCAGAGAAGGGAGCTAGCCATAGCAGTTCTCAGGGGGCCCAAGTGGCCAGGGAGGAGCAGCTGGTACCACAGAGTTGTAGCCATCTGCCATTCCTCCTGGCCTCCACTATCCCCTCATCTCCTCACCATCCCCTGCCTTCTGGGGCCACAGGGAAACATGGGCCAAACAGTATCTGCAGAGCCAGAATGTACAGAAGGAGTCTGGTGGATTACCACCTTTTCCCAGTAACGCGCTAAGAATGCTCTACCTGGCCTTCATTAGACGGAGACCCACAAGGGTGCCCTAAGCCCACCCCTCTGGCACGCCCATGTGAAACTATGGCTTCTCAGGCAAGTGGACATGGCTTGTTTCCTCTTCCTGCCCGGAGTGGTAGTGAAAGGCTCTCTCCCAGAGAAGGTACATGGCCACTGTGGGGAGAGGCTGTGGTCTTATTTTAGGCACTGCTCCTTTAACTTGTTCTGTGCGCAGGTGAGCATAGTGATGGACGCAAAGACCCGGGGGGAGGGGAGGGTTCGCCACAACTCAGTGGCCTTGGGCCGCTCATTTGGGTGGGACACAGACGGCATGTGACACAAGGATATAAAGCACAGGAGTGACCTATGAGTAGCACACATGGCTCAGAAATCTGGAGATCAATTCTCCAACAATCCGCCTCACTTCCCCGACCACCTGCCCAGCCCCCAGGCTCTTCCTCTGTGGCTGAAACCTCAACGGCCAGAGTGTCTCCACTTGGGAACTCTCAAGGAGTGTGCTCACCTACTGCTAACTGGGCCTGGATCCACCTGGGAGTGACCCTGAGGGGTCGGTGTGTCAGGTGGGATGAGGAGCGTTGCAGCTCCTCGGAAAGAGCTGGGCGGCGGGGGGGGTCTCATTCCTCTGCCTTCTTCACCGAGGAGCAGGAAAATCCACGACTCCTCTCTTGCTGCAAACCCCAGCTCGCCTTCCATCTGCACATGCCCAGAGGACCGGCCCTCCCGCCCTCTACCGCCCAAGGGTGGGCCCTCAGCTCCGCCTGTGGGGGCGGAGGGGGTGTCAGTGGGGCTAACAAAGAGGGGCACACACCCACACTGCAGTGAGGTGAGCAAGAGCCTGATCTTCTGTTTACTGCTGCGTGTTTTCCAGAGCGTAGTTACCATAGCAACTCCTTTGTCCAGGGACACATGCGGGACAGAGCACCTCAGAGGCGCACCTTTTACGAGAAGCACGTTCCACGCCCGGCCGTCCAGGACACATCTGGTGGCAGGGAGCTGGGGCGCTAGAAGCAGCCCAGAAAGATGGAGGCTGCATCTGACAGTGAACCAAGGCAGGAACCCAGAGCACCAGCTCAGCCCTCGCCAAGTCTTCATGAGTGCCCACCCTCTCGTCCTCAGGCCCGTTTCGGCATCAGCCATCACAAGGGGCTTTCCTGGCCGGGAGAGGGCTGCCTGCTGCCGGGGGAGAGGGGAGGTGGGCGACATCAGCTGCTCGGCAGGACAGAACAGTTCCCCTCGGCTCTGCACGGGGAGAGGGTGCTGGCTGTGAGGAACGGGGGCAGGGCACAGCTCCCCCCCCCCAAGGAATTTCCTCGTTCACTTCCCTTCCTAGTAACTGATCCTCACCTCTGCGAACGACGGCAGGGTCATGGAAGCCCCAGGCTCAGGGCTGTACACGGTTCCTGCCACCGCCCTGCCCCACACACCCGGTGGGAAGGGCCCACAGGGCCACAAGCAAGGGGGCAGCTCCCTGGGGACGCCAGAGCCGGCTTCAGCTCTGCCTCCACTTGCATAGAACCCATGCCTTCCCACACCTGATTCATCTTGAATTTTGGAAGGTTTTATGCATCTCTTAACACCTGCCTGGATTAAGGGAAAAGGATTCTGGGAAAGAGAATCGGGAAAGCACCACATCTACAGGCGCAAGTCCTTTTCACGGTTTCTAGAGCTCAGTGCTTGGTTGGATCCTCCCTTGGAGGGAGCTTTCAGGAGCCACAGCCCTAGGGGTTACAACCAAAACAAATGGAATCTGCAAGAAACCACAGGAGGAAACTGGGCAAGAGCGGTTAGGAAGAGAAGAAACAGACCCCTCACCAGGTTCTCTACCGGCCCAAGCCAAGTCTTCCTGGCCAGCAACAGGAATAGTTTTGTTACCAATGACCAGCAGTGGACAGGTTTGGGGCCCAGAGCACCTGGGGTCAGCTCTGGAGGGGACTGTAAGTGTGGGAAGGTTCCCAATGATAAACGTTGCACAGGGACAAACTGAATGATGAGCAACACCGGCCAGCTTATGAGCTATTTCTTTTAAGATCTTTTTTAAGATCTAACTTGCAAAACACCCAAATGTCTCTGGTTCCCACTCCTGGCCAGGGTCGGTCCGGCAAGTAGTGAGCCACTGGATCCATTATCTGTAGTGACCGGGGCCAGCGAGGCGACCTTATTCTCTCTGAGCAGCAAGCACTACCGAGACACCCCTGGGCCCACCATTCCCCAGCCCCACGGAGCAGGATTGCTTGAAGGCCGCTTGACAAAAT